GATTTTACAAACATTAATCTTCGTTACAGAAGCAGGGATCTGTAACACTGGTGCCGTGACCTACTCAATCAATTCAGAAAAGAAAAAATATATACAGTTAGACCTATTCAATACAGAATTAGATATCAGCAATAAAATATTAGCTTCAATTTTGCAAGAACTGGCCTCTCATTATCATCTTCGGTCTCATCCTTCACCTACAACTCATTCACCTACAACTCACTCACCTATTCGACAAATTAATCATCAACAACATCAAATAATAACTACTATGACCGATGCATTAACTCGAGCATTTGAGAATATTAAATCATTTCATGGTAGTTCACAAGATAATTCACGAGATTGGTGTGATCGAACTGAAATTATATTTAATGCATTTAATATTAATGATGCTGATCGTTTAGCTCGTATAGGTATTAAATTAGAAGATGCTGCTTTCGATTGGTATCGTGATAATCAAGGTCCATATGCAACATGGATAACATTTCGTCAAAAGTTACAACAAGCATTTCCTCCACCCGAACGTACACAAAATCCACATTTATTAGCTGAACAAATAAATCAACGTAAACAAGAATCTGATGAATCAGTACATGATTATTATTATGCATTAGACAAGTTATGTCGAGAATATGATCCACAAATGTCTGCTATTGATAAAACAATAAAATTAGTTGGAGGACTTCGAGAAGAATTAAAAGAAAAGATATTACCATTAAATGTTCAAACACCTGAACAATTTATGATACAAGCAAAGAATTTTGAATCTAGTGCAAAGGTAATGGCTCATCATCGTAAATCTGATAAATCTAGTGAATTACCTGAACCAACATATGTATTTGAATCAAATGATTATTCAACAATAGCTGCATCTCAACCACGTCAACAACATCACCAATCATATTATAAGCAGATCCCTCAACCATATTATCATCAACATCATCAACAAAATTATCGAACACAACAACAGATACAAAATCGTTATAATCAAATTTCTGGTGATCAACGAACGTTCCGATCAACTCGGAACCAACAACAAACAACAATTCATAAATCACATCCTCAACAACACGGTGCTAAATCATCTAATAACTATCAACAAATGAATAATTATGTTCATCAAAATGTCAATCGTCGAAAATGTTTTAAATGTGGGCAAACAGATCATGTACAAAACAATTGTCCACATCATTTAAACTACTAATAGAGACGGCAAACGATGGTACTGTCTCTAACAACAACAAAAATCCATCTACACCTCTTATTGTTAACCTTCAAGTTAATAATACATTAGTTAATACAATGGTCGATACAGGATCAGCAAGATCTATTATTCATATCAACACCTTATACAAATTAAAATATCAACCATATATTAAATATCGAAAGAACATGCATCGAACTGCAAATAATAGTGAATTACGTACAATTGGATTAGTTAAGTTAAAAATTAATTTGAAAAATATTTCAACATTTATTTTAGCTGAAGTTGCTATTGATTTATGTACAGGATTAGTTTTAGGAAATGATTGGATTACTCAAAATGGTATTGATATAATTACAACGAAAAAATGCATTAGTAAACGTTTAGGATCATATGTTGCTACTGTTCCATTTTCAACTTATAATCAAGAATCATATCCGGTTTCTCCTATTTACCCAATTCGTATTCTACCAGAACAACAAATTATTATACCTGTACGTGTTAAAATAAAAAATGCTGATACTGTTATATTTACTCCATCAAAAGCTATTATTGAAAAAAAAGGAATATTTATACCACATTCATTATTGAAAATTACAGATGGTGTAACACGTATTACAATGATAAATGCAAATGATTCACCTCAATATTTAAATACAAATATGATTATTGGTACAATTTCTTTTCCTTCATTAACATCTATATCATTACCATTGTTACCAACACAACAAGTTAAAACATATGTAGAACCTGATTTTAAATGTCGAATATGTTATGAAAAATACAAATCAAAGAAACAGTTATTTGAACATTTACATCAAACTGGTCATTATTCTGAACGTGAAGCAAATGGACCACTAAAACAACTTCCACCTGCTGTACTTGAAAATATAAAAATTTTAGTTGAACATATCACAGATACACAAAAAAGAAAACAGCTTCAATCATTACTCATTAAATATGGTCAACTTTTTGATACATCTAAAGCAACAACAATTAATTCAACTGTTAAACATACAATTGAAATAAAAAATACTCGACCAATTGTTCAACGTCCATATCGTAAAACATCAACACAAGAAAAAGTTATTGCTGAAATGTGTGAACAATTTTATCGTGACCACATTATCAGACCATCAAATTCACCATGGTCATCACCAGTGGTGTTACAAAAGAAAAAGGACGGAACGTGGAGATTCTGCATTGATTATAGAAGGTTGAATGAAGTAACAGAAAAAGATAATTTTCCATTACCACGAATACAAGAAATATTTGATGCACTCGGTGGTTCAAACTATTTTTCTAAACTTGATTTTCAAGGTGGTTATCATCAGATTCCAATTGACGAATCAGACAAACCCAAAACTGCATTTGTTACACGTGATAAATTTTGGGAATATAACGTTATGCCTCAAGGTATAAAAAATGGCCCTCCAACATTTCAAAGAATTATTAATAAATTACTTGGACGATTACAATGGTATTCTGCATTATCTTACATTGATGATATTATAATTTATTCAAAATCAATGGAAGAACATCTACATCACCTCGAACAAGTTTTATCAATATTACATCATGCAAACTTTCGACTGAACCCGGCCAAATGTGAATTTATGCAACAACAAATTAAATTTTTAGGTCATACAATACATGCACAAGGTATTACACCATGTCCAGAGAAAGTACGTGCAATTAATGATATACCGGTACCAAATAGTATTAAATCAGCAACATCTTTCATTAAAATGGCAGAATATTACAGAAATCACATACCTAATTTCTCCACATTAGCACGACCATTATTTGATTTAACAAAGAAACATGCAAAATTTATATGGGGTGATGAACAACAGAATTCATATAACAAAATTAAGCAATTGTTAACAACAAAACCATTGCTTCAGTTTCCTGATTCAGATCTACCGTTTGTCATTCAGGTAGATGCATCTAATTATGGTATTGGTGCAGTATTAATGCAAAATTTTGGTACAGGTGAGCAACCAGTTGCATATATGTCCCAAAAATTAAATAAACAACAACAAAATTGGAATGCAACCGAGAAAGAATGTTTTGCTGTTGTATCATCAATACGTAAATGGAATCATTATGTAGCTGGTCGAGAATTTATTGTTCGAACAGATCATCATGCATTGTGTTGGTTGAATCGGAAATACAACAGTAACCCGAAACTGAACCGATGGAGAATGGCACTACAAGACTATACATTTAAAATTGAACATGTACAAGGTAATAAAAATTGTGTTGCCGATTGTCTTTCTCGTTATCCAGTTAATCCACCATCTGATGATGAAATCGAACATTGTTCCATTTCAACTCAAACAGAAACACAATCATCAACTGTGGGTGCAGTTATAACATCTTCTACGATTCATCAACAGCATTCATCACAAACAAATACAACTACAACAACTCAACCTGATCGACATTCAAATCTTATTAAACCAATCAATCAAATTCATGTTTTTACAAATGAACAATTAAAATATTATCAACAACAAGACACACACATTACGAAAATTTTAGAAAATATTGATAAAAGGCCATATAAAAATGAATATTGCATTAACAATGATATATTATGTCGTAATGTTCGTAGAATTAATAGAATTATAGCCGTACCGGTAGTGCCACGAAATAAAATTAAAGATGTATTACTAGCTTACCACAATTCATCCATGAATGGTGCACATTTAGGAAAAGATCGAACATATTATAAAATTCGTGATCGTTACTATTGGCCAAAAATGTATAATGATATTGCACAACACGTTAAGTCATGTTCCAACTGTTCGATTAATAAGTATTCAAGAAGAAAACCAAATGGTCATTTAAATCAAGTTAATCCACCTGAAGGTGTATGGGAAAATTTAGCCATGGATTTCATGGGTCCAATAACACCATCATCATCAAGGGGAAATAAATATATATTAGTTATTACTGATATATTATCCAAATATGTTATTGCAAAAGCCACACGTGATAATTCAGCTTTAACTGCATCAAAAGTATTAGTAGAAGAAGTAATACTTAAATATGGAACACCAAAACAAATATTAACTGATAACGGTACACACTTCACCGCTCAATTATTTAATGATATTACGAAATTATGTGGTATGTGTCATATCTTCACAACACCATACAATCCTCAATCAAATGGTGTTTGTGAACGACTTAATGCATCAATCTGTGATAGTTTATCATCAATATGTAATAAAAAAAGAACTGATTGGGATGAACAATTATCAAAAATTATATTTGCATATAATACAACTCGTCATGTTAGTACAAAATTAACCCCATTCGAAATGATGTTTGGACGACTATGCAAATTACCTTTTGATTTACCAAAACAAACAACAACAAGTGTCGAGCCTCATCAATATGTTAAACAATTACAAGAATATTTAGAATTAGCAAAACATGTGGCCCGTACAAATATTGAACGAAGTCAGGAAAAATCAAAACGAAATTATGATACTAATCGTACAAATAATATTTATTTAATTGGAGATTTTGTTTATATTAAACGATTAGGATTAATTCATAAATTAGCACCAAAATATGCCGGTCCATATCAAATAATTCAACAGCTGAACGATTCTATATATCGAGTACAAAATACTAATGATTTAAATGAAATAATTAACGTACACATTAATCGTATACGCCAATGTTATCAATAAATACGAACTAACCAAAAAGAAAAAAAAAACAAGAACTACTCTACTTGTAACTAGTGTACTGTTATATACATCTTATATATACATATTTTTTTTTTGTACGTTTACTTATTGTTATATGTTCTTGCAGCTAATGTTATTGTTATATGTATTTCTTATGTGTACTTTTTTTTCTCTCTGTACGTGCTATAACAATTTATTTTGTAAATCGTGCTATGCTCGATTTAATGCGCATGGGGATGGTGTTAGAGAGTACTCTAACATACATCTTATTTTTATTATTCTCTTCA